TGTCTGACAAATGTCCTTGGTTTTGAGGGCAGGCTGGTGGTGACGCAGCACCCAGGAGGAGCCCGACAAAGACACACTCCAGCTCAGACACGCCCGAGGACGTAGAACCCTGCTCGTGCTGGAAAGGGAGCTGAGACCAGCACTTCTCCACCTCTAACCCTGCTTCCTTCCTGTACCAGCCCCTTCCCCACCCTACGGGCTGGCTCTCTCTAGTCTCCTGCCATGGCCCCCGTTTCTGTGATTTCCACCAGTGCCCACGCCTGAAATATCCTGAGGGCCCACTGGCAACCCTATAAGCCCTGGTTGAGGAACACTACCGTAAGCTATAACATAAATCTTAAATTTTTCTGTTTTCCACAATAAGCTATTTTGTTACCCATCGTCTGAAAGCTAACCAGAAAAGGCAATATTTGCCTTTGGGAGCTTGGGAAAGAAAACATCAGTGTTTGCACCCAGAGTTATTACTAACAAAGGAATGGTCTGCAAAAACCCCAAGCTGAAGGGCCAGGAGCCTCTCCCTGTCCTGATGGCCGCCTGAAGAAAGGGCGGTCATTCATCTGCAGCGGGAGAGCCAGAGAGGCAGGCAGCGGCCCCACTTTGTTTGCATTGCAATTTATAGTAAGCTTAGTAACTGTTGGTTGCAACAAATGAGGTTAATTTTAGTTATACTATCTGTGAACTCCTCGCCTTTCCCCTGGCATCTACTTCTTCTAGTCAAAATTAAAAACCATTTATTAGGAATATTTCATTCAGGGTAAAACAGAGGACATAGCTGTTTACGCTTTAAAGGATGGGGGAGCAGAGGCCTATTTATGATTTACATTTAATGAGTTAGGAGACCGGGTTATTTAGAATATGAGAGTCTGACCTTTTAATGGGGAGAGCAGTCGGGCAGACCTCGTTATTAAATGTAGCAAAAAATAAGAATTGGGATCCTCTAGTAAGACTTTCCCATCCCCTAGAAAATGAACAAATCAACGGGCAGAAAGGTCTCTCCTCTGCAGGAGAACCTTGGAATTCAGAGGCTGCGTAGCAACCAGGGCCACACAGTTAAGTGCCAGGCCCTGCACCAGTAAGATGGACAGGAAGGGCAGACCAAAGGTCCACACTGAGGAGCAGGAGGGCGGGACGCAGAGGGAAGGAACACCGGGACTGGCCCAGGGGAGAGAGTCAGAGAGAGGAGCTGGTGCCTGCTCACTGCTACCAGGGGACCCCAATCTGCTCGGTTTGAAACATTCACTCCAGGTCAGTCTGATGCAAGGGGGTCCTGGACATTTAGTCACATGCAAAGGTAAGACCTAAGGAACCAATCACTATGGCACTGTCCTCCCGTTGCTCATCAATTTGCTTGAGCGGGCACCAGTAATGTTTCCACTGTGAGACTTGTTAGTGTTTTTGGCCTATCAAATATGCACTGGGGAGCTTGCCAGGCTCTGCCGTGTAGGCGGGATACTCTCAGTAGCTTGTCAGGCTCTCCGAACAGGACGGAGAAATCAAACCTGGGTCGGCCGCGTGCAAGCCAAAAGCCCTACCTGCTGTGCTATACTCCACTCCCCAAGGAACCAATACGGTAATAAAATAATTGTAACAATAGAGTTTTCTGAAGAGAGCCAGGGAGGCATAATCTCAGGGATCAGGAGGATTTGGAGGGACCCCGGAATGTCCTACATTTGCACAGTGCAACCCACTTACTTCTAGGTGTGTGACACCACGCCCAGGGAAGGCTCAGAAGACCCTGGGGAGAAGCACTCCTGACCCAGCGCCAGAAGGGGAGTGAGGGCAGTGCAGAACCCGAGCACTGAGCAGCCTGGCAGAGGTCCCATGACTCGTCTGTCTGCCTCCATCCCCGACACAGACCTGTGAGACAGGGCCAACAAATGCTGCGGGAAGGAAAAGCAGGAAAGGCCAAAGGATAATGCGACACATTCCCCACAAGCTGCACCTCACATGCCTGTCTCCACCTTCTACCTAATGGGAGCTGGCGGGACCAACCCTTCCTCTCCTCAAAATGAGGGTGAAGACCTTCCCCTGCCATGACTTCCCTGTTATGAGCAACACATATGAGAAAGGTGTTAAGGGAGGGTATCTGCCATCTGAGGCTTCCCTATCAACCTCAGGCCATTACTGAGTTCTGTGGAAGTCCTCACAGTTGGATTTTCAAGGACAACGGGGCCAGTGTCCCTGCCCCTGCTCTGCTCAAAAGTCAACTATAGGTTGTAGGAGCCAAGGTCAGCTCACCAGTCTTGACCCATGGGGAGAAGCTGAGCCCTGTTCTCCAACGGAAACTGACCAAAAGCATTTGGTGCAAACCCACACTGTGTCTGGCCCCAATTACAGGGCGTCCAAGTAAGAAAGTAGCAGTAGGGCTGGAGCGATAGTACAGCAGGAAGGGTGTTTGCCTTGCATGCGGCCAACCCAGGTTCGGTTCCCAACATACCATATGGTCCCCCAAGCACTGGCAGAAGTATTCCTGAGTGCAAAGCCTGTGCATTGTCGGGTGTGACCCAAAAAGGAAAAAAAAAGTAGTAGTTGAGGAACGAACGCATAGAGCATAAAGGTAGAAAAGACAGATTCAGGGGGGTTGCTGTACGTAGACTAGAACTGAGGATGACTGAGAAAAAAAAATTTAAGAACCCAAGTGCCTTCCTGGGGCAAAGGCACTGCCAAGTACCACAGAACATCCAAAGGCATTAGGTCATTAACTCAACATGATAATTAAGCACCTACTCCATGGGCCAGGAGCTAACACTGGGGATACATACAAGAGAAACATCCCTGTCCTCCTGGAGTTTAAAAGCAGATCACTTCATGATTCTCTTGTTCGCTTTGGTTTGGTGCTCAGGGCTTACTCCTGCTTACTCCTGGCTCTGCGCTCAAGAATCACTCCTGGCTGGGGACCCGACGGGGTTCTGCGTCTGCAGAGCAGAACACGAGGCAAGCACCCTCCCTGCTGTACCACCTCAAGCCCCATGTCCCTCTTCTTGGAAAGGAAACACTTACTTCTGGAGCTGCGTCTTTTTGCTCCCGACTCAAGAACATTCACGCCTGTATCCCAGCGGCTTTCCATATCATGTGGTAGTGTTTTTGTGGTGCCAGGGATGAAACCCAGAGCCTCACACGTGTGACACAGGCAATTCCCCGTGGATTGGAGCCCTGCCCTTCACCTACCTGTTTTTTATTGTGTTTTGGTTTTTGGTCCACACCTGGTTATACTCAGTGCTGACCCCTGGCTCTGCATTCAGGGATTACTGGCAGTTCCTGTGGGACCAGACAGGGTGCCAGGGAACAGAACTGGGTCAGCCACATGCAAGGCAAATGTCCTACCTGCTGTAACATCACTCTAGCATCAACCTACTTGTCCTAATGGCAAAAAAGCAAAAACCAAAACCAAAAAAAAAAAAAAAAAAAAAAAAACACCCCACAAAAATACCACAAACCTCACTTAGGAATACTTTGTTAACAATGACGTGAAATTTGGTATGAGAAGATGTAAGATGCGAGCATCAAAACGTTACTGAAGCCTAAGTTCAATGAAAGAAATTTATGAACTTTTACATTCTTTGTCACTTGTTTATGCTGATGCAAGGAATAACTGAAACAGAAGACCAATTATTTGGCCAAAGTTCAGAAATCAACCACAAGTGTAATGCGGAATTGGAGAGAGGTCATTTGTCGGGTTAAATTATTAATTTCAATATATCATGCTGTCAGTTACTTGGTCTCGGTACTGATATGACGTAGTCCCCCGCCTTTCATTATGCAGCAAAATATTCCCCAAGACCAGACACCTCTAAAAGAAGAGAACTATACCCAAGAGTATACAGCAGGACTGTGCTCTACGGTACACCCAGGAATCCAAACTCAGACGCAGATCCAGGAAATCGGCTTTATCAAAGCTATGGTGGGCACTTTTCTAGAACTCTGAATAGCCATGCCTGCCTCTGAGTACACTCTATTAGCAACGGCAGTTGGCGATACGGCATTTTGCAGTCACGCCTATGACTGCCGATTCCCTTCAATGCTGGTGACATCATCAACTTCCCAAGCGGCCTTATTTCTAACTGTCACTTTATTTTGGTTTTACAGTAAAGCACATCAGATCTGAACTCCCTCCAAATTGCAGTCTAGATTGCTATCATTCCTGGGATCTTTCCGGTCTTGGGCAAATAAAACTCAGAATACAATCATAAAACTCCAAAAACAATCAAAGCATTCACTATTAAATTACAGAACACTTCTTTAAAAAAAAATCTATTTCAATTATTACTTTCCTATCTTTAATGTAGGAGATCCTTTCTTTTCCACCCAGTCTTCATTACTTTGTAACAGTTATAATGTTTAACTTGCATTCCTATTTAAAACAAAGTAGAGAAATACATGTGAAATAAACTCAAGGTGTTTCCCAAGTTAAACAGAGGTACAAAACTAAGAAAGATTGTTTTTATTTTCAGAAGGAACATTTTTTAGAATGTGCTGATGTGTTTTTAAATGTGATTTATAAAAACACACAGCCACAAAATGCGCAAGGCACATCGCCTGTTAAAGATTTTAAAGTATAAAGTCTTAATATCTACACGCAATAATCTATACTGTAAAGTGAGCACCTCTAAAGACAACTAACATACTTCAACAAGGAGGCTCAGTTACCGAACTCTCATTACAAATGTAAAAGTTCCCTTCTTTTAGAAAGCTAAACAGTGTTGATATAATTGGGAGAAATTAATTTTCAGGAAGAGAAGAAAATCAGAAGAAAGACGATCAGATGACCTTACTTTCAAAAAAGGAAAAATGACCAACTGAGTATAATAAGAGTCAACAAATGTACGGGGTTGATTTTTACCCTGCTTTGTAAAGAGTCCATCTAAAACCATCTACAGCTAAAATTTTGGATACATTGTTTTGTGTAGCTTAGTGGAAAACCAAAAAAAAAAAGTATGTTAAAACCAAGGTTAAGTTAAAGTCCTTAAAATCCCAACATTTTGAAAGAACAAATCTCTTACCAGTTGAAATTCCCGACGCCGGTCATAGGCATTCTGTATGCCACTGTCTGCCCATAATGCTCTGATGGCGGGAAGATATTGTAAAAAAACTTGGGTTTCTACCATTCCCTGGGCCGCCATGGGGGCCCGGGTGTCAAATGCCATCATCTTGTCTCCATTGAGCTGGTTTGAGGTATCTCCCCAAGGAATATGAAGCTTCTCTCGAGCATCTACCAGCACTCGCATACCTTAGTTTAAAAAGAAAAAAAAGGGTGTGATCACAGTCATAGTAGCTGAGTTCTAGTCCAGGATTGTGTTCTTAAGTTTCTTAACGATTCCAGCCCATCATCTCCAAAAAGGAGACCCGTATCAAACAAACCACCTGTAACTTCTCAAAACTACCAAAAAGAGAGGGGGAAAAAAAATAGATAGCTGCTCACGGCCATAAAAAATCAGAACCTTAAAGAATAGGCTTTCATAATAAAATCCTTCTTTTCTGAAAATTCTCATCATTCTCTAATTTAGAAAATAACGAGGTAGGAGGCTGTCACAAAACCAATCTGAAAACAGATTTCAACCCACTGCACCGCTGCTCTTTGATGCATGGTGTTACACAACTGCTAAAAGTGCTTTGTCTGGGTAATTGGGGGGTGGGTGGTGGGAGTGGGGTGCAGGAGGTGGGGGGGGAACTACCTTTTGTTGCTGTGAATTTTCTGGTCACGCCAAGGCCCCAAACTAATCTATCTGATGACTTTATCTCAGAATCAAATGCTCCAAAGAAGTGACACTCAAGAACCAGTGTCCCAACAGAATCCCGGCTCACGACGGGCCAGCAACTCAGGTAACCCTATCACTGACGTAACATTCCTTAAATTCAGTTGCATCCAGATACAAAGGTCCCTTCACTTAGGGATGGCGAGGTCAGTGTGCGGCCTTGAAGCAGAGCTTAATGAGGCTTCAGGCTGAACGTGACCAGCGAGGGTCAGTCCAACCGTTTTACAGCTGAACTAAACTGCACAGGGCTTAGGGGGTCCGTGCCACTGGCCTCGTGCCTCTCTCTTCCCTAGGTCCCCCCCCCCCCCCACATAAGCACTAAGCCTCTACGCAAACCTTGAGCTGGGGAGGAGGGAAAAAAATAAATAAATAAAAGGGGCGGGGTGGGGCTGCAAGGAAGCCCCGCTGGAATCATTCCTGCACCCGCATTCCACTGTAAAACCCAGGGCGTGCAAAGGCCCCGAGCGAGCGTGGCGGCACCCAAGTCCGGGGCGCTCAGCACCTGAGCCCAGGGGCGCCGCCACCCCACTCCCCTCCGCCGAAAGGCCTTTTATGCAGAAAGCATCTGCGCCCCAAGAACGCTAAAGACGCTGGACGACCAAATTGAAAAAAAAAAAAACAGCAACAGCAACAAAAACCTCCTTTGGGATAAACATCTTGTGCACTACCCCCCTCCCCTCTCCTGACCCCACCCCGCGAGGAACAAAGTTTTCGTTTGCAGAGAGCTGGGTCCCCGCGCCCCAACGCGGCCACCTGGGGTGTGTGTGTGTGTGTGGGGAGGGGAGAGTGCAGGGGCTGGGCTGGGGTCTGCACCTCGCGCCCCGGGGGGGTCAAGCACCCGGGACACCCATGCACGATGCCAATCCGCGCACGGGGCAGCACCCCACCCCCCCAGGGCTCCCCCTGGCCACCCCGCAAGCCCGCCCCGAAGGCGCGCGGGGTCCCGGGCAAACCTCCCGGGCCGCCGGGGGCTGGGGGCGCAAAAACCCTTCCTCTGGCTGGGAGGCGGGGGCGCTCGAGAAGTGCGCGTCCCCACCGTCCCGGTTCTCGAGCGCCGCCGGGCTCCCGGGGCTGTCACCTCCCCCCTCCACCCCCACCCCCGGCGCCCTTGACCGGCGTCCCGGGCGCGAGCTGCCCGGGGCCGGCAGGCGCCGCCCGCGGGAGCCCGGCGCGCGGGGGGTGGGTGGGGTGGTGGGGTGGGGTGGGGACGGCTCCAGCGGCCGGGGGGCGTCCGGGCAGGGGGCGCGCGCGGGGCGGGGGCGTCCCCGGGCACCTTTGATCACGTTGCTGTAGATGGTGGGGCGGAACTCCTCGCGCGCGCGCTGGTCGAAGTCCTGCCCGTGGATGATCCGCATCTGCTTGAGGAAGGTGGACTTGCCGCTCTCGCCCGCGCCCAGCAGCAGGATCTTCACCAGGCGCTTCACGTAGGTCTTCTCGCGCGACAGGCACTTGTCGATCTCCTTGGACTTGCGCTGCTGCTCGGCCTCGCCGCTCGTCAGCACGCAGCCCGGGAAGCACACGGACAGCACGGAGCGCGACGGCAGGAAGTCGGCCATCTTGCCGCCGCCGCCGCCGCCGCCGCCGCCTGGGCGGGCGCGGCCGGCCGCCTCCACCTCCGCCGCGTCGCGGGCCGCCGGGCGGCTGGGGCAGCGCGGCTGGCGGCCGGGAGCGCAGTGGCGGCGCGAGCGCGCCCGCCGCGGGAGGGAGGGAGCGAGCGCGCGAGCCGGGACGCAGGGCGGGCCGGCGCGGCCGGGGAGGGGAGGGGAGGGGAGGGGAGGAGGGCGGGCCCGAGAGGGGCGGCGGCCCCGGCGAGCGAGCGAGCCTGCGTGCGTGCCTGCGTGCGTGTGCGTGCGCGCGCCCGCCGCCCCGGGGAGCTCCGCCCCCTCGGCTCGGCTCCGCCCCGTCCCCCTCCGTGCTCGGCGCTCTCGGGCCGAGTCTCTCTGTCGCTCACTCGCGCGCGTGCACGCGGGAGAGAAGAAGGGCGGGGCCTGCGAGCGGGTGCGCGCGTGGGGAAGAAGAAAGGCGGGGCCTGCGAGCGGGTGCGCGCGTGGGGAAGAAGAAAGGCGGGGCCTACGAGCGGGGGGCGCGCGGGGGGGGGGAGAAGGGCGGGCGGGAGGGGGGTGGGGCCTGCCGCGGTCACGTGGGCCGCGCCAGTCCCGGGCCCTGGAAGTGGGCGCGCTCAGGCCCGACCCCAACTTTCTGTTTTCCCTTCCACCGAGAGCTGCTAAGCCCGCTTCTGAGGCTGAGCGTTGCGCCTTTTCTCCCAACGCCACTTCCTCCCCTCCAGACCCCCAACCCGGAGGTCAAGGTCCTGGGCACTTGGTCTCTGGGCCGTGACCACCCCCCCACCCCCCGCCCCGCGCTTGCTTGGTGGCCCTGGGCTGTGCCCCGTTTCGAGGCCGTTGACCGGAAAGTTGCCCCAGGTGCGAGTTAGATGCGTTTCCCGAGAAAGCCCAGTGCCCAGGGTCATCCGCCCCTCCCTGCGTCCCCGCGGCCCCCCACTCCCCCTTCCTAGTTTGCAGGCCCCTGCAAAGGTTTTCCCCGCGAGCCCCCTGCTCGGCTCAGCTCCGCTGGGCCAGCAGAAAGCCCCCGGTTGGTGGCAGCGCAGGGTGAGGTCATGGCGAGTCCCCCCCGCCCCCCACCCTTCCCAACCGGACACTGCGCTGCGGACTCTTCCCTACAAGGAAGCAGATAAGCAAACAGACCGACTATGGGCGCAGGCAAAATTTAGGTTTCCTGCCAGAGTACAGAGGATATGACCAGCCAAGGGGACTTTCTTCCTGGGCCTAACCGCCGATCCGGGTCCTAGACACCTGAAGGGGTGCCGGGGGCGCCGGCTTGGCAGTGGACCCTCCCGAAGAAGCCAACTTCTTCACGTTTCCAGGGGGAGAGGGAGGACAAAGCCATTTGTGATATGCTTTTCAGCAGTGGTTAGCCTGGATCGGGGCTACTGTGAGCTTAGAAATAACCTGCGCGTGCTAAAGTGTCTCCGCTGGACAGGTCGGCACTGTTGAGAAGCCTGAGAGCAGGTTTTGTTTTTTTTTCTAAATAAGTTATTTTTTTTTAAATCACTGCTGATCAGTTTACTGTGGAGCTGGGTTAATAGATGAAGAGCCCGTATGACTCAGTCAACTGCAGTAACAAACCTGCAGGAGGATTATCTCCTGTTGTCCTGGCCAAACCCACGGGGGTGGACAATCTGGAATATACAAAGCAGGGCAGGTCCAACCCGGTATCTGTGGCTTGATAGAGGTAGGATCCCTGGGTGGTGCCCTAAGGCAAATGCATGGACACTCCCCCTAGTCCTAAGCAGTGTTAGGAAGCGCTCCTTCCCAAGCCAAGGGAAAACTAAATTGAGTCCTGGGCGGGAGTGTAGATTACCCCCTCCCCCTCTATTCCAACTCCCACACCAGCTGTTCAACGCTTGTGCAACGGTGGGGGAGGGGCGTCACTAAAGGAGGGCCGTCCTCATTTGCATTAACATCTTTCCTCTTCTCTTTTGGAGCCTTTCTCCCAAAGTGGTACAACCTGGTGGAGAAACAAGGGTGCCTCGGGGGCAGGAAGGCATTCCTGCCCAGCCAGTTCATGTTCTGACATGTACAGCAGCAGGAGAAGCTGTTCAGGGCCCTCCCTGCCTGGTAAACTCACCTCAGCACTCTCAGCCCCAGAGCAGCCTCTGCACGCTAATCCCAGGTTTGGAGGAAGAGACCTCTCCCAACCCGGGCTGGGCCGTGAGTAGCACAATGCAAGGCGAGAAGGTGAGTTCCATACAAGGCCAGAGAGAGAGCACCATGGGGATGGCATTTGCCTGACACACAGCCAATCTGGGTTTGATCCCTGGCACCACCCTTGGTTCCCCCCCTGGGTAGCACCTCTGGTCCTCCGAGCACCACCAGGAGTGATCCCTGAGTGCAGTTGGGAATGGTTTAGGAAAAAAAAAAAAAGCAAAAACGAAAAAGAAAATAGAAACGAAGTGAGCTAGAGGTTTGTTCCGACTGCAGAAAAGTCAGTACAGGGGCTGGAACGATAGTACAGGGTGTAGGGCATTTGCTTTGCATGCCGCTGACCTGAGTTTGATCCCCAGCATCCCATATGGTCCCCTGAGCACCGCCAGGAGTCATTCCTGAGTGCAGAGTAACACCTGTGTATCACTAGGTGTGACCCAAAAAGAAAAAAAAAAGTACAGTATTGTGTGTGACCCAGCAATGCCATTTCTCCTGTCCCCCAAGAAATAGTTGAAAACTGGTGTTGCTAGGAAATCGTGGACGCCTATGTTATGTTCATGTCAGCTCTGTTCCAAATAATCAAACCAAGTAGCAATCCATCTCCCACAGCCAGAAAAAAAAAGGGTTGGCAGCTTGTGCACACTGTCCACAAGGACAGTGGAATTCTTCAGCCACACAGCGAAATGAAGCGGCGACTTGGGCTGCGGTTTGAATGGCCCCTGAAGACATCACACTCCGTGCTAGCCACCGGGGCGCAAGAGGCCGCATCTCGCCAGCTTCCTTTGCTATGGAAGAGGCAGACTGGGAATCCGCGGAAACAGAATGTAGAGTGGGGGTTGCCAGGGGCAGGGAAGACCGACAGCCCCTGCCTCGTGGCCACAGGATTTCCTTTGGAGGGACAGGAAGGCTGAGCATCCAGGCGGCACGAATGGTTACAGACATCCTGAGTGCCTGCATGGCACCAAGTGTCCTGAATGGGTACCTTCCCCGTGGTCCAATGGTGACTCAATGGTAGTTAATTTTACAAAAAAAAAAAAAATTTTTTTAAAAAGAAGGGGCTGGAAACATCACACTGGAGTAGGGAGAAGGATGCATTTGCACAGAGTCAGTCCCAATCCTATCCTTGGCACTGCATAAGTTCCCCTGATCCTTGAGAACATAGCCAGGAGGAAGCCCTGAGCACCGCCAGGTAGGGCCCAAACCCACACACCGAAAGTGAGGGCATGGCATTTGCATCACTACGGATAAAGTCCCCACTATGTGCTATACTCGATGAATGAAAGAACAGGGTGTCTATGTTTGGGGGACCCCCGGTCCACTCCTTTTGCTACTAGGCCTCGGCACAGCAGGCCTGGTGGCTCAGTTGCTGGACTCTTGTGTGCAGTAGTGCTTGACCCAGCTATGCTCTGGTACCCAAGACCAGCATTCACTGAAGCTGATGGGGGGCGGGGCAGGGAGGCCGGGATATGCAGTGTCCTTGCTGGGAGTTGAACTCGGAGCCTCTCGCATACAAAACTCACCTTCCATCCCTTTGAGCTACTTTCTGAGGCCCATTATTATTATTATTTTGTATTTTATTATTATTTTGTTTTTTTATTTTATTACTTTGTATTTGATTGGGGTGGAGGGTTGCCTGGGATTGAACTTAGGGCTGTCACATATAAAAGCAAGTGTTTAATGAGCCACGTGCCCGGATGCTTCTGCTGTTTATTTATTTATTGCTTTTTGGGTCACACCACGTGATGCTCGGGGGTTACTCCTGGCTCTGCAATCAGGAATCACTCCTGGTGGTGCTCGGGGGACCATATGGGATGCTGGGAACCGAACCCGGGTCAGCTGCATGCAAGGCAAACCCCTACCCACTGTGCTATCGCTCCAGCCTCTGCTGTTTATTTTAAAGTAACACTGAGCAAAAGGAGAGGGACAGACATAGAATGATTGGACTCATTTGAATATATATATATGTATATGTATATATATAACATAGTATGAGAGTAATTCCCAAGGACAGTGAAACAAGGGCCAGGAGGAATGGTCCACTTGGAAGCTTGCCAGCGGGAGGGCAACTAGGAGAGATAAGGGACCTCTATGGCAAAGATAGTTAGAAATGATTACTCTGGATAAGAATTGTGTGCTGAAAGTAGGTAAAGGGACAAACGTGATAGCCTCTCAGTATCTGTATTGTAAATCATAATGCCCAAAAAGGTGGGGGGAGAGAGAGAGAGAGGAAAAATGCCTGTATAGAGACAGGCTGGGGGGGAGGGGGAAACTGAGGACATTGGGAATGGGAAATGTGCACTGGTGAAGGGAAGCGTAATAGAACATTGTAGGACTGAAACTTAAATCAGAACCAACTTTGTAACTGTATCTCATGGTGATCCAATTTAAAAAATATACATAGATATAAAAGTAACAGTGGCCAGGTCGGAGAGAGTGTAGCCCCAGATAAGGTGCTTGCTTTGTCGGAGCTGACCCCGGTTCAATCCCTGACCCCACATAAAGTCATGAACCCTTCATAACCCTGAACGCGGAGCCAGGAGTAAGCCCTGAGCACTACCAAGTGTGGTCCCACAACCCCTGCCCCCCTCCCCCCAAAAAAAGATTAATACTCAACATTTCAATTATTTGCACAAGAAACGAACTCTAGTGGTTGCTTTAGAAATTCCACTGTACTGATATAAGTGACACTATCAGGTCGATCGTTTAATAACTGAGAAAGAAAATCCAAACTCCCTCCCGCCTTTTGTTCCCTCTGTTGTCGTGGTGACTGGGGTTTGCACACACTGGGTTGTGTTGCATTGGAGATCACACACTTGGCCGTGACATCAGGGAGTCCTGCACACAGCACCTGGCGTGGTGCAGGGATGACACTAGAGGCCTCGAGTTTGCAGTGCAGGAGCCAGCCCTCGTCCCCTGATGGTCAACGTTTCACGGAG